ACGCTTTCAAATGGATTTTCAACTTCCAGCATAGAAGTACTTAGATGTTATTCTGCTTGTCAACTCTTATGGCAGCTACTCGATGATGACATTGTGGGCCGTGCGCTATGGCGATGGTGGCCCCTAATGGTATGCCCGGCAAAAGAGCTCCATCTTGCAGGCCCTGCGGAATTGTGAGAGGTCCCGCAGGGCCCTGATCTCCTTCGGGAGCTCGTTCCACCAGGTAGGGGCCACCACCGAAAAGGCCCCGGCTCTAGTAGCAGCTAGCCTGGCCTCCCCCGGGCCAGGGAGGGTCAAACGATTTTGAGACCCAGACTGTAGTGTATGTCTCTGGGGTATGTTAACAGTTATGAGACAACCTGTGCGTTCCCCACCTGCTCACCAACTGTGACAGCAGTGGCTAACATAGCCAACAGCCTGGAGAAAGAAAAAAAAATGTTCTGTCCCTTTAACAGAGACTCAGTGGGGTGTTAGTTACCAGGTGATGTTCTCAACCTCCCTGCCATGAAAAGCATTGCCTGTTCCTGTCCACAAGTTACACCTCTCTTAAAGGGACAGAACAGTTTCCAGGCCTGTTGCCAACCCTATGATGGCCTAGGGCAGAGACGGCTGCCTGTCTTCTTGGTGCCACTGGGTGAGCCTGCCTGCCCACCAATGGTAGCAACTCACTCATGTATCCGCATCTGCCTTCCTTTTCTGTGGTAGTGAGGTAGGGTTGCCAACAACCTGGAGTGAAGTAATGTCCTGCCTCTTTAATCAAGGCTTAGTGCGTGGGAATGGGCAGGTGAAAACATTTCATGGCAGAGAAGTAACTCACAGCACCTGGTAAAGAACATTACAGGAAGCCTCTGCTGTTAAAGGGACAGGCCACTGTTCTCCAGGTCACGGCCAACGCTAAAGCCAGCACATGCATTATCAAGTCGAAGAAGTGGAAAAGGGCCTGTGTGCATGCATGCATGGTGTGTGTGTGATATTCCATGAGGCATAAACCCAAACAGCAGACAGTTCTCAAAGATAGCAAGAGCGGGCCCTTCCCTGTCCCTACCTAGCGTTTTCACACACACGCAATAAGACACTTTCAATCTACTTTCAGTGCATCTTGCCACTGGCTTTTACTGTGTGAAATGGCAAAATCCACTTGCAAAGGGTCACTGAAGTAGATTCAAACTGCACTATTTAGCACAGAGCCAGTTTGGTGTAATGGTTAAGTGCGCGGACTCTAATCTGGGACTCTAATTTGGGAGAACCGGGTTTGATTCCCCACTCCTCCACTTGCACCTGGCTGGATGACCTTGGGCAAGCCATAGTTCTGATAAGAGCTGTTCTTGAAAAAGAGCCGTTTCTGTCAGAGCTCTCTCAGCCTCACCTACCTCACAGGGTGTTTGTTGTGGGGAGGGGAAGGGAAAGGAGATTGTAAGCCGCTCTGAGACTCCTTTGGGTAGTGAAGAGCAGGGTATAAACCCAATCTCTTCTTCTTCTTCTTTTACCTCACAGGGTGTCTGTTGTGGGGAGGGGAGGGGAAGGGAAAGGAGATTGTAAGCTGCTCTGAGACTTCTTTGGGTAGTGAAGGGCAGGGTATAAATCCAATCTCTTCTTCTTCTTTTCTTCACATGTGAAAGTGCTTCTTCTTTCCCCCTTTTATACCCATATTACAGTTATCCATACAGCAGACCCTTCTCAAAGACAGCAAAAGCAGTTTCATTCCTTCTTCTCTTCCCCATTTATACCTACGTTAGTTACCCATGCAGCCAACAGTTTGAAAGAAACAAGAAAAAAATCTTTAAAATCCAGGCAGTCTTTGGAGATCCAAACCACAAACAGCCCTTGGAGATCCAGATGAGTAACTGTGCGATCCTACACATATTCACTCAGAAATCAATCTCACTGAGCTCCATGGGGCTGACTCCTTAGTAAGGCATGCTTAGGACTGTAGTTTAATCAAGCAGCAGTTCTTCAAAAGCGCTGGTTCAACTAAATCTGAGATGGTTCATTTGGCTTCGACAGACCATTCATAGATCAAGTGTAAATATAAACTACCAGAAGGTGTGCAATGAGAACTCATCCCAAGAGTTGATGCTCCAAAGAGAAGGAAAGGGGGCTTTCCAAATGCTACATCCTTTGAACTTCATCTGAGTTGTCCTCCCAAGACACTGGGTACCAATACCAGAGGAACACAGCTTTGGGGTTTCCAAATAACTTCTGTCAGTCATAGCAATAAGAGGAGGAAGAAGGCAGAGCTTCCATACAGAGGACAGAAGAGCAGTAAATATTTAACAAAGCTTTCTTACCCTTGTTACCTTTGCTTCTCACAAGCCCTCCTCATTGTGAAGAGGTTCTGAGCGGGTGTGTGGGTGTGTGCTGGGAGGTTAACTTACTTAGTCTGTGTCTCTGCGCATTTTCTGTTGCTGCTCCAGATGCACTTGCAATGGCAACAAAGCAGCCCTGTGGCAATGCTCCCTGAACTTTTCTTTTCTCAGATCCCACTCTGGTCACTCGGACCGCCCCCACAGCCACCTTATTCCCCCCCCCACAAGTACCATTAGAGGGCTTTTTAAAAAATGCTGACTGATATATGGGTATAACATGATATCAGCTTATCTACCAGCTTCTACCAATTCCCAGCTTTCGTTTTTGTAAGAAAAAGTCTCTAGTCCTTTTTGTTGTGGAGATATAAGGGGAAAGGCATATCTTTGCAATGAAAAGGGCAAGAGAGTTGTTTTTTTTTTAAGACGGGGAATTCAGAGGAGTCAGTAGATACATCGATAGAATGTGATAGCTGTGTGTCAATAGCTTTTTTTTTTTTAGTACTCTAGTGGCATGGGTTAATGGAGGCCCTGTAGGGCTGAGGCAATGAAAATGGTGCTGATGTGGGTGGAACTTGTCAAAAGTGACAGTTTTCCATCCACACAGCACACAAACATGCTTTGATTGTGCTCTTAGTAAAGAGATTGTACAAAATCAGGCTTCGGAAAGATTGCAGCGAAACAGTCAAAAACACAGAAAGTGAACAATTAGGGGACAATGGTGCATGGACGCGTCCAAGAAACCTGTTCTGGTTTGGATGCCAAACTGGAGCAAAAGCTCCAAGAGGAAGTGTTTAGTTCCCTGCAAGGATAGAACCAGAAGATTTACGCTTTCTTAAAAGCAACCCCCAGGACTGAACTTCAAAGTAGAAAATCTGAAAACGTGCAGGAGCCCTCATCCAGTCAAGTAATGCATGTGCCGAAACCCATTTCAGGCCTAACCCCCTTTCTGGACTGAGTAAGGTTGACAGCTCTGGGTTGGGAAATACTTGGGGATTTGGGTGGGTGGAGTCTGGGAATGCCACCCCCCTACCTGGGACCTGGAAATCCCCCGGAATTACCGCTCATCTCCAGACTCCAGAGATCAGTTCCCCTGGAGAGAATGGCTGTTTTGGAGGGTGGACTCTGTGGCACTGTACCCCACTGATGTCCCTGTCCTCCCCAGGCTCCATCCCCAAATCTCCAGCAGTTTCCGAACCTGGATATGGCAACCCTTACCCTCCATCCCCTGCTGGTGACCAGAGGGGACCTGGCAACCCAGTGGGAAGGTGGGGTTTGGGGAGAGGAAGGACTTCAGTGGGGTACAATGCCATAGAGTCCACCCACGAAACCTTCAATTGTTTCCAGGTGAACAGATTTCTTTTGCCTGGAGATCAGTTGTAAACCCAGGAAGTCTCCAGGCACCACTTGGAGATTGCAAAAATATAGACCCCAAGGGTAGACCATCAAAAGATACATAACTTTCTTTTGATGGTCTACCCTTGCGGTCTATATTTTTGCATACTACATAAGCTTGGGGTCCCTATTGTTTGGTGCACCGGGAGGTTGGCAACCCCAGGACTTAGAGGGCCTTGTTCCTTATTACAGTTTTGCTTCTCAGGAGGACCATGAATAAAGACTGTGTTGGAAAGGATGTAACCAAATAGGAAGTTATGCGCATTGTTGGTGGCAGTGTGGTAAAATTAAGAAATTCTGGCAAGAAATACTAAACATAATTCGAGAAATAACCTCAGTCCAAATTCCACTAAAACTGGAAATTCTGTTTTTGAATACCTGGCCCGAAAATCTGAATTCCAGAGTACATAGACGCACAATAGAAGTCCTTCTAGATGTGGCCAAAACAGCAATAGCATCGCACTGGAAGGAGAAAGGGGCACCCACAGTAGAAATATGGTACAAGAAACTTTGGACTCATTACTTAATGGATGCAGTCTCCAACAAACTAAATTACATGTCACAAAACCCAACAAAGTCTAATTTCATAGAAAAATGGTACCCAGTGATGGATTATCTGTCTCAAAAACAATTTATCTCATCTGAATGGTCTCAATACCACAAATGGA